TCCGGGAGGAGCGGGAGGAGCCCCGCGCGGGGTCAGGAGCGGGAGGAAGGAGGAGGCCCGGGCAAGAGGAATGGGGGTGGGTGGGCGGGGAGCGGGAGGAGCTCTTCTTGGGGTTAGGGAGGAGGGGGGAGCCCTGGGTAGGAGGAGGAGGGCAGGAGGAGAGGGAGCCCGGATCAAGTTCCGGGGGAGCAGGGGGAGTGGGGGTGGGGGCGCGGGGAGCGGGAGGAGCCCCCCCCTCCCCGCGTCAGGGTCGCTCAGCGCCTGCAAGGAGCTCTGGCAGTTTGCCCAGCTTGGGCCTTCCGCCACCCCCGCTGGTCCGCGGGCTTTTTTCTTGGTCTGGCCATGCCGTCCCTGCCTTCCCATCGGGAGGATCCCAAAGTACCCTTGGACCGGGACGAAGATCTAGTTTACAGACTCCTCTTTTTCTCAGGAAACCCGATTGCAAGAGTGATTCATTCTGACATTTCTTGGCGTCATTTCGTTTCATGTTATCCATGCACCCATTCCTTTTGTTTAAATGTGTGAATCCAGGGGCTAGGCACAGCGCTGAACACCGCTGCACCCTTCGTGTGTCCTCTTTAAAAATACCTCACGGTGACCACATTGTCTCTGTGAACTACTTCCTGGCAAAGCCCAAAACTGAACCAGAAAAGCACAACAAAGTCCTTTTTTAAAAAATACAGCCAGAATCCATTTGGCCTAACCTGAGGTGAATAATTGAGGCGTGAACTGCAGAAGGTTTCCTTCTGATGCACTAAGATGTTTCCTGTGAATGAATCCAAGGGGGAAGAATGACTACGGCCAGGAGTCCCTGCAATCCACAGAGCACAGTTGACTTGGGTGCCCAGTACATCACCTGCACACCTCATTACGCCAAGCAACACCAAAGGTGAGTTAGTTGAAAGGGGAGGAGTCATTCTTGGTGACCGTAGGATGTAAAAAGGTAGAAATCATCCAGTTTTAACAGGGTGACACTTTGCTTCTTGTAATACAGTGAAGATATAAATAATATTATCATTGCTGATGGCGTTAGCAGTAAGAGGTAGGGAGTCTTACCTCCTGGTGTGGTCCTGAAGGTCACCTGAGATGCTACATCCTGAGGGCTCAATTTAAATATGAATTACTGTGTTGTGTTGAGGAAGAGACAACTAGTCAGTCTTCACCAAATTCAAAATGGGTGGACTGCATACCTTTCTATCTTCACTGACCTTTAATTTTGAGAGATACAAGAAAATAGGCCTTCAGCTAATGTCAGCAAAAGATGTATGGATTCTCAAAACGTTTCTGTTCTTCACCAGAATTATGGTTTATTAATTTTTTTGAAGTACGCTCTAGGCCCCACGTGGGGCTTGAACTCACGCCTCCCAAGATCAAGAGTCGCGTGCTCTACTGAATTATGTTTTATTAACACGAAACATACATTGAGTTGACCATATGAAGATTTTTAGTTATTTAGAATGATAATCTCTAAGAATTCTTGGAAGAGAATACAGTGTTTTTAAGCTAACTGACTGTGGTATATAATTATATCATGTATATTGATTTATTTCAGTTTTTATGTTGACCTGTTAGCTCTTGGCATTTTGAAGCCTCTGACCTCTCCTATTGAAGGGATGATGATGAAAGAGGGAGACTGTAACTTTGTGGCACCTCAAGGAGTTTCTTCAATTATTAAGCATTACTTGGACGAATCAGGTGGGGATAGGATTTGCTCTGCTTTCTTTTAAAATTGGCACTTAACGATAAAAGTTGTATACATAATTAAATATTAATACTATAAAGAAAGTTATAAAATAGATGTTCTCCTCTTCACCACTCAATAGCTAATTTTCTTTTCCTAAAGTAATCCCTAATAACGGTTTTCAATGTATGCTTCTAGAAAAAAGTTTGTGCATCTCTTGATTTACATGACTGCCTCTATTTATTTATTCATGTATGTGTATATTTATTCTTTTTAAGTATACAAATGGGATTATTTTTCATAAACCGACACCTTGTTTGGTCTGTTCATAATAAATCAGTCCTCGCCTCCCCGTTTTCTATCTGTCTACCTCCTATTGGTTCTGTTTCTCTGGAGAAGCCTAATACAGCCTAGACTGAATCAAATCTTAGGTCTGTTTTCATAACAACAAATTCAGTATGCTTCGTTCTTTTCAATGCCTGTTCAGTGTTACATTATTTATAAATAAACATACATTGTATATGTAAGCATTAGCTTTCTGGAAAATATTTAGGTTGTTGGTAGGGGTGAGGGGTTGTTTTGGTTTTAGCTAATACAATATGACTGCACTGTCTAACCCTGACACGCTTCTGTAAGTATATCTGTAGGACCAATTTCTAACAGGACAGTAGCTGTGTCAGATGGTATTGTGAATTTTTAATTAAGCTAGGTGGTGCCGTCTATTGCTCTTAAAGAATATCTCATCAACAGTGAATGAGGAGGCACCTGGGTGGCTTAGTCGGTCAAGCATCAGACTCTTGGTTTTGGCTCAGGTCATGATCTCAGGGTGGTGAGATGGAGCCCCAAGTCGGGCTCTGAGCTCACTGGGGAGCCTGCCTCTCCCTCTCCCTCCACCCCTCCCACTTGTGTTCTTTCTCTCTCTCTCTCTCTCAAATAAATAAATAAATCTTTAAAAAAATTTTTAAAAATTTTTTAAAAAGCAGTGAATGAGAATATCTCTTTCTATACATGTTGATATTATGGAGATTTTTAATTTTTGCCAGTGTGATCGGTTCAAGCTGGTGTCTTTTTGTGTTTTGATTTGTATTTACATAATTATGAGTGAGTTTATGCATCTTTATGTTTTTAGCGAGCTCTTTCCATCTTTTTCCTGTGACTTTCTTATTTATAACCTTTGCCCATTTTCTATTAGGATTTTCATTTCTTTATATGTTTCTGAATGTTTTGAAAATGACCTTTTTTAAAAAGATGATAAATGATCTTGGATAAGAAATTGATTTATTTCTTTATTTTTTTAAATTTTTTGAAATTATTTTTTAAAGATTTTGTTTATTTTTGTGAGAGAGAGAGAGAAAGAACACACACAAGGCGGGTTGGGGGGTAGAGGGAGAAACAGACTCTCCGCTGAGCAGGGAGCCTGATGCAGGACTCGATCCCTGGACCCTGGGATTACGATCTGAGCCGAAGGCAGACGCTTAACCAACTGAGCCACCCAAGCACCCAACAATTCCTTTTTTTTAAACAGAAGTAAGTTTCTTGATGAATCATAAGTAAATTACCCAATTCAAGATCACTGACGAAAGGTGCTAAGAAGTTTTGTTTCAAAAGCTATTTGTAGAATAATTACCGTTTTGATTTTCTTCATCAACTTTTACTTATTGAGAACTCCAAGAATCCCTGATAGCAGGCAAGGGAGACATCAGTGAGATTGAATATACATACAGCATGGGAACATAGTAGATGTCACTCTGGTTAGACCATTTCTCCATCTAGAATTCAGTCTACAATGGTGTATTACTCAGGATTTTCCAGAGAAACAGAGCCAAAAGGAGGTAGATATAATAGGATATATGTGTGTGTGTCTGTGTGTGTGTTTGTGTGTGTGTGTGTGTGTGTATGTGTATATATATATATATATATAGATATAATAGGATATATTCATATATATATGACTTATTATAAAGAATTGGCTCATGTGATTATGGAAGTTGGCAAGTGTCAATATCTTCAGGATGAACTGGCAAGTTGGAGACAAAGGAAGAGATGATTTTTCAATTCAAATCTGAATACAAGGGGAAAAAAAAACCCAAAAAACCTTTGTCCCAGTTTGAAGGCTGTCAGTCAGGAAGAATTCTTCACTCTTGGGGAGGGAGGGTCAGTCTTTTTGTTTTATTCAAGCCAATGACTGGATAAGAGCCATCTACATTAGGTAGGGAGGGTAAACTGCCTTAGTCTACCAATTTAAATGTTACTGTCATCCAAAATCACCCTCAAAGACAGACCCAGAATAATGTTTGACCAAAATCTGGACACTCCATGACCCAGTCAAACTGTTGCTTAAAATTAACCATTATAGAATGTGATACCATTGGATATTTTGTAGAATGTCACCAATCAGCTTCATAGATTGCCTCCATATAACGTTTAAAAATTTCATTTCCATCATGATTTGACCCAATTTGGATGTGCATGTTTACTGAAATCCTCGAGTACTTACTAACCGTATTATATATCTATCCATCCATGCATGCACACATCCATTCAGTAAACACTTGCTGAGTACCTGCTGTATGCCAGACACTGTTTGAGATGCTAAGGATACAAGAACCAAAGTCCTTGCCCTCTTATAGCTGATGTTCTGGCAGAGGGACAGTCCTTGAATACAGAGTACCTACATCCTTCTTTTGGGAGGTGTTTGGGAGGAGATATGTTTTATCTTACAATTTTGCTTTGGAAGCTCTTGGGAAAAGAGGTCATATTTAATTATTTGTGGCTCACATAAAATTTAACAGTACCCCTGTACGTACCAGGTAGCTATCATGATATATAGATTTCTGTATCTAATTCTATATATGTATATGTAACATACATATAGTTATATATATTAGGTGATTATCAGTTTTAATTTAACCAATTCTTAATAAAAACCTGTTTATATTTTCAATTTGTACAGCCTCTTGAGACAATGATTTTATAGATTTTTTTTATCACTATGTAAAATATTATTTACTTCAAAAAGTAATTTTTAAAAAAGATTACATACTGGAAGAAAGTTTGGAAGACACAGAAAAATAGCAAGAAAAATGTCACTATAGACATCAACAATAAGTCCATTATGTGACCTACTTTCTGCTTTTTTAAAAAATGAATTTTTATATAATTGAGTTCAAGGTCTGTATAATTTGAGTTTATATAAATGATTTCTTTGTTTATTTTAATATTATCTTTGCAATACTTCAAGTCTTTTCCCCTCTTTACCCAGATCTGTTGTTATAGAATATATAGACCTTATCTGTACTATTTTAAATTTTACAATTGTATCCTTTTAAACATCCTTTAAACTTCTGTAAAGCTTTCTCTCCACTAAATGGTCCACCAAAGTGTTTTAGTGTTTCCACAACATAAGTGAGAGAGTTTCTGGAATCAGAATGACCTGGACTGAAATTAACGTTCTGCCACCCCTTCCTAGCTATGTAATAATAGGAAAGTTTAAAAATCTATACCCTGGTTCTTTCATTGGAAAAATGAGAGTAATAACAGTACCCACCACAAAGTGTTATCGTGAGAACTAAGGGATATAATGCATTCATTGTCAACCCAAGCAAATAGTAGGCTAGGTAAAGAGGAACCTCTTGATAAATGTTGGTTTAAAAAATAATCTCCTTGAATGAAGTTGACCTTTGCATAAGAACCCAAATTGTGAAGTCATTCCAAAAATACTCTACAGTTTGGAATCGATAAAGTTTGCAACCCCGCAATCTGTTGGACGAACCAGTAGTCGTTTAGATTGGACCCGCCCTCCAGGGAAATTATCTGTATGGGATATGTCTAATCATGTGTGCCTTAGAATGCGTTCAAATCTCTAAAGCCAATATTTAACTAGAACAACTTCCCAGAACAGCGGCCTGAACCGCAGGGATGCTGATCCAGTAGGTCTGGTTTAGGTCTCAGAATGTGCATTTCTAACGGGTTCCGAGGTGCTGCTGGTACTGCTGGTCTGGGGTCCACACTTAAGAGAACCACTGACATACCCCTCGCAGAATATTTTGGGACCATTGGGATACATGTCCAAGACATTTGGCCAGGTGTGGAGAATTTCTAGGTCAGTAGACTTCAGTTCCCTGAAACACACACACCTGCTCACCATGACCAATAACCATGCAGAGCTCTTTCCCAAGGGAATGTTATGTGAAAACACAACAGAATAAAGCGTATAAAATAACTTGACTTCCTAGAGGTCCAGATCAGGGCCAGAACCAGAGTGAGGTGAGTAAGTTGACCAGGTCGGGGTGAGACATTCTAAATAAATAGAACCAGGTGAGGGGAAACTGTTCAGGGTGGAGTGGAGACAGCGGGTAGGAGTTGAAAGCTCCAGTTATCTGCACCTTCCCTAAGCAGGGGCCTTAGGGAAAGCCTCAGGCAGGTTGGAGGCTGTTTCCTAGCCCTTGCTCTCATCTATGAACAGAACGATGCTAGTTGGCCTGAAAGAGATGGACCCCTGGGCCTAGTTAGCACCTCGTTCCTTCTAATATATTTGCCTTTGATTTAAAAAATGTGAACGTTTACAGTGTTGTCTCAGGATTATTCCAGGGACAGTGAAGGTGTCTGAGCTCTGGAGACATGACATGGAAGAAGTGGGTTTTTCAGATAGATAAGACATACCTGAAACATGCAGATATTTTGAATCAATGTCCGAATGATGGTGGAGGGACCTCATAGGTGAGGAGCATCACACTGAGCTGGAGGACCCGCAGGAAGGAAGCTTCAGGGCCCAGGGTGGACCTAAGCCAGATTTTGAGTGGCTAGGATCATGAGGCGTCCCCGGTAATGATGAACAGGATCTTCCAACGGGCTATTTTATTATTTATTATCTTCTTCTTTATTATAATTTCTTGCTTTTCTGTTCCTGAGGTTGCCTAAAAGTAGATTTGTTTTTAAATTAAGTTTTCTGAAAGTTGAAATGTGTGGGAAGTGCTTGGTCCCAAGGAGACTTAGTGATCCAGTTATATTTTCTTATCTTTTGGTTTACAGTCCCTGATTCATTCTCTTCAACAGGTACTTATTAAATCCCTGGTATGTGCTGAGTACTCTACTGTATATGCGATACGGTATTCACAGAAACAAAACAGGCATAGTTCCTTCCCTGTGGGCTCACAGATTAATAGGGAAGAAAATATTAATCAAATAACTACTCAAGTAATTACTAAAATATTTTGGTGATAAAGAAGAAAAGTGCAATGAGAGGACATTCTCGATTGTATTTCTCCTAATTCCAGTTCTTAATGAAGGTAACTGATCCACCAACGAGGGCTAGGATTTCTTTCACAGACCCCTTTTACAGGTTTAAGAGGGAATCTTAATTTCTTTAATAGGGGAATATGGCTCTTCTCGCTATTTCTAGAATTGTTAACACCTTCACTAAAGTGTATTCCTGCTCTTCGAAGGTTGTGAGCTTTAGATTCGGGTGGATATAGTTTTATATCATGGAGTGACATCTCTGAATTTGTTTCCTTCTTTGTGAAATTAATTGATACTATGTATATCAAGTACTTATTATAGTCTTGGCATATAGTAGCTGCTTAATGAAAGACAGCTGGGATTCCTAGTATTGATTGTAGCAGTAGGGTTTTGTACCCAGGGGCGGGCATCGATCCCAAGGTCCAAGGTGCCAGAAGGAGAGGAATTTCTACAGAATGAGAAAGGGAACCCCTAGAAGAGAGACTTCACTGTTTAATTCGCCTGAATGGATTCAGCGTGTGACTCTTCTGTTTCTCCTCGTTCATATTGGAAATCCTGATTATGTGAACATGACTTCGCTTTTGGAACAGGTGCTGATGTCTACTTCAGACACTGTGTGACCCAGATCAACCTGCGAAATGACAAGTGGGAAGTCTCCAAGGACAAAGGTCCCCCCGAGCTGTTTGACATTGTTGTCCTCACGATGCCAGTTCCTCAGATTCTGCAGCTTCAAGGTGACGTCGCAAACTGTGAGTCCCGGCCTGCGCCGTCCACCTGAGAGCGGGGCTCCTCTCATGGGGGG